GACCTGTCCACCTGGTTGGACCCTGCTCACCACTTACTGGCTCTTTGTCCTTGGACAAGTTTTCTTAACTTTTATGTGTCCAGTTTTATCAACTGTAAAATGGGGCTAATAATAATAGGTACTTCCTGATTGTAGTGAACATTAAACAAGTTAAATAAATATAAAAATAAAATGCTAGTAAAGAACTTGACACAGTAAATACGTGAGATTAGCTACTGGTGGTACTCTCTCTGGGGACATGGAAGAAATAAGTTATGCTGGGCCCTGGCTGCTCTCAAGATGACTTTGTAACCCTAAGGATAGTAGGAAAGGAAGCTGAGCATGAGTGGAGGGAAAGAAAGGCAACTGGAATAGTAGGTTGGACTCAGGCTGGGTAACCTTGGCCATGATTTAGCACATTAAGCCTGTGTTCCAATCCGTCAACCCTTTTCTATCTCACTGGTTTGTCATGAACTTTGAAGAATGCAATGTAAGTGAAAGTCCTTTAAAATTATTTTAAATGCCACATAAGGGTAAGGTAACTGTGGTCTAACAGGAAGCCTGTCATGGAATTGAGAAGACCTGGTCTCAAATCCCACATCCACTTCTCACCACATGATAACCTTGGACAAGGTACTTGACTTCTACTCTCTTTCCTTATTTGTAAAAGGAGACATCCACCTTCTTCACAGTTGCTCTGCAAGGTAAACACGTAGTGTCCAGCAACAAATGTTTGGATTTTTAAATCAACATTATCATCCATAGTCAATGCACAAGGAAGATTCTGTGCCAGGTTTTTCTTAGAAACATTTACTCCCACCCATTAATTAGGATGTCAGTCCTTCCTGGTGAGGTCTTTACTCATATTCTTTGGAATTCCTTTCAAAGCAGATCAAATGACCTCTCTGGGAAGAAAACTGAGCCAGGCTCAGCTGAAGCCCCACGTGAGAGCCCATGGACTCGGTGTCTCCAATTCCTTCCCCCTTCCTGGGTTCCAATGCCAAGGCAGCCTCTGGCAGCCTCCTAAGTGTGCCTCAATGCTACCACCCTGGCATGTATGGGAAGAATGTGAAAAAGAGAGGTAATGGAAACACCAATAAAATGTGTGTGTCTGGGTTCAGTTCCCCTCATTCATGTCCCTGAGACTGCCAAAGCATCACCTTACCTAGCAAGTTGCTATTGTTTTCTCAGCAGTTGAATAAATCTGTCATTAGCAATATTATCTTTATTCACTGTAGGAGATAGTAGAGGAGAACTTCCCAGAGCTGCTCAAATTTAACAATGTATTTTTCTATCTTTATTGGTGGAGAGGAGTGGGGGGAGGTTCCAGGGATTGATCAGATTCCCAACCCTATTTTGTATTTTGTTTAGAGAGAGGGTCTCACTGAGTTCTTAGCGCCTCACTTTTGCTGAGGTTGGCTTTGAACTCGTCATCCTCCTGCCTCAGCCTCCCAAGCTGCTGGGATTACAGATGTGCACCACCAAGCCCAGCACATCTTTCTATCTTAACCCCTAGTACCATGCTGTTGAATACACTTGGGGAAACACCAGTCCAGCTACCCTTTAAGGGTGGGTGAGAACGGCACATAGACCAGCCTCATGGTAAGAAGAGCTGCTCATCCCTGCAGAGGAAATAGCTCAAGTAAGACAGCAGGAAGCTGAGAGCAGACTGAGGCCCGAGGTTGAAGAAACAGGAAGAAGGTCTCTGGAACGCTATAAAATGGACAGGTTCTCTGAGGACCAACTCCCCTGTCCCTGTGTATTTCTCACCATATCTGGAAAGTCACATATCTTGCTGGGACTTTCCAGAAGCCATGCTTGATTTTCTGGAACGCACATAACTGCATCTCCTCCCTCTCTTCCCTTGTCACTTAATGGAGTGGAAAACATGGAGATCTTGGAGGTGGGCAGAGTCCCCTCCTTGCTACTCTCCAGCTGCATGCCATCTGGGCCTAAAGTTTCCATTCAGCAAATTGGAGTTAGCATAACCTCCTCTTAGGACTCGCAGTGGGGGCTGTCAGAAGTAATGTTAGAAAACCTTTACGAATGTCTGGGGGATAGCTCAGTGGTGGAGCTCTTGCCTACATGCACAAGGCCCTGGGTTCAATCTTGAGCACTGGAAAAAAAAGAGAGAGAGAGAGAGAGAGAGAGAGACAGAGAGAGACAGAGAGAGACAGAGAGAGACAGAGAGAGACAAAGAGAGAGAGAATGCTCTTACACAGGACATGTGTCCGGCACT